GCCCTTAGGCGTCTGGGAAGAGAGGAAGCTGCCCGTTGGCGAAAGCGCCAGAAGACTCCAGTCACCCACGGCATAGGAGACCGGTCGGTGCAAAGGGTTGTAGAACTTCTTCGGACAGCTGGGGCTTGTTCCAGCGATAAGCGGACATCCGCTAGGAGCTCCTCGCGTCACGACCATTGTCTTGGCCACCTCCGCCACCCGGTCTCTCCGCACTCATAAGAGCGGATGGAGGAGGGTCCCTACCGTGAGACCACCTTGAATGGAGTGTCCTTGAGCGATGATTGATACGCCGTGTTGTAGACGTACTCCGCCCATGGCAGCCATCGCAGCCCATCGCCGTGGGCCGATCCCGATGAAAACACCGGAGGTACATGACGATGACTTTGTTGGCCGCCTCCGTTTGGCCATCGGATCGCGGGTGGAAGGCGGACGTCATGTGCAGCTTGGGGCCGGTGAGTCGCATCAGCTCCCGCCAGAACGTCGAGGTGAACACGGAGTCCCGGTCCGACACCATGGACTGAGGGATCCCGTGGAGGCGAACGATCTCGCTGAAGAACGCCTGGGCCACGGACTCTGCACCGTAGGGGTGAGCCAGTGGGATAAAATGGCGGTATTTGCTAAACCGGTCGACCACTGTGAGGATCACCGATTTGCCCCCAACGCGAGGCAGCGCTCCGATGAAGTCAAAGCCGACGCCGGACCACACGGCACGGGAACGGGCGGGGCAGCAGCGAGCTCGCGCCGGTGCGGTGTTCGGACTTGTTGCGCCGCACGTTGCGCGCAGCACGGACGAAGTCTCGACCACGCGGGCGCATGGCGGGAAGTAGAAGTCCCGCGGAGGCGATGTAGAGTCCGGCCGCACCTTTCATGCCCGCTGTCGTCGTGCGTAGTAGCCACCACTTCGAGCGGCGGAGAGTCCGGCGGAATGTAGAGCTCTGTCGAGATACGCCACCATGCCGCCCGGCAGAATGACCATGGCGCCCCTAGTGCCGGCTGCTAGTTCATCCCTGAGGGCGACCAGGGCTGGTTCCTGTCGTTGAGCATGACGAAGACGGTCGACGAAGTCAAAGCGAGGCGCGGACAGCACCAAGACCGAGCCCTCCTCGCTGGTGTCGCGCCGGGACAGCGCGTCGGCGACGGTGTTCGTGGCACCCGGCTTGTATTCCACCGAGAAGTCGAAGCCGAGGAGCTTGCCCACCCAATGGTGCTGTGGGATCGTCGAGAGTCGCTGGCCGAGGAGGAATTTGAGGCTGTAGTGGTCGGTGTGGACGAGGAACGCGCGCCCCCATAGGTACGGCCTCCAGTGGCGCACGGCGTGCACCAGCCCAATGAGCTCCCGCTCATACGCTGCCAGAGCGCGGTGGCAGGGGGCGATCGGCCTGCTGAAATAAGCGATCGGATGGTGCTCCTGCAGCAAGACCGCCCCGAAGCCATGCGTGGACGCGTCACACTCAACGATGAAGCCCTTGGTGAAGTCGGGCAGCGCCAACACCGGGGCCGACGTCCACGGTACGCTTTAAGTGCCCGGAAGGTTGCTGCAAACTGCGTCGTTCCGAAAAAAGCACTCCTTCTTCAAAGAACGAAGTGAGGGCGCCGCAATCTTGCCGTAGTCGTGGACGAACTTGCGGTAGTATCCGGCGAGGCCCAAGAAGCCACGCACCGCGCGCGCCGAGCGAGGTGCCGGCCAGTCGTGAATGGCCTGCACCTTGGCCGGGTCCATGGCCACACCGTGGGCGGAGATGATGTGGCCCAGGTATGTCATGGAAGGTGACCCAAAGATGCACTTGGATCGCTTGACGAAGAGGACATGGCGGTGAAGTTCGGCGAGGACGGCGCGGATGTGCCTCAAGTGATCAGCCCAAGTCTTGCTGTAAATCAATATATCATCAAAAAAGACAAGGACGAACCGACGAAGAAATGGACGGAGCACGTCGTTCATGAGCGCCTGGAATGTTGCCGGAGCGTTGCATAACCCGAACGGCATCACCAGGAACTCATAGAAGCCATCGTGGGTTCGGAACGCCGTCTTGTGCACATCAGCCGGCCGCATCCGGACTTGGTGATAGCCGGAGCGGAGGTCCAGCTTGGTGAAGAACTGCGCACCATGCAGCTCATCAAGGAGTTCATTGACGATGGGGATGGGGAAAGCATCCTTGACGGTGAGGGCATTAAGAGCGTGGTAGTCCACGCAAAACCGCCAAGCCGTCCTGCTTCTTGACCAAAGAATACCGGCGATGAGAACGCCAAATCGCTGCGGCGTCGATGCCTTGGTCCAAAGATGGCGGCGCATTGCCGCCCACTTTCGTCCTTGTGCGCCACCGGGTAGTGGTAGGGCCGAACTGCCACAGGTGTAGAGCCGGGCTTGAGGACGATGGCGTGATCCCGTGCTCGCTGCGGTGGCAGCCCCGCCGGCTCGGCAAACACCCCCTCGAAGGAGTGCAACAGCTCCTCAAGGAGGGCGTTCGGTGTCGTGGTGGCGGCGAGTAGGGGTGGCCGACGGTCGGCGACGTCCGACCAGAGACCTGTCGGCCTTGGTGCGAGAAGGAGACGGTGCGGGCGACGAAGTCCCACACCACCCGCCAAGGGTGACCATCCATTGAGTCACCAAGACGAGGTCATAACCCGCGAGCGGCATGACAAAAAGGTCGATGAAGAACGTCTCGCCCTCGATGATGACCGGGGCGCGGCGGATGACGCCCGGGCAGGTGACGCGCTCGCCGTTGGCCACGGTGGCCGTGAGGCACGGGCGCGGCTGGATCGGCAGGCCGGTGCGGCGGGCGACGTCCTCGGCGATGAAATTATGTGGGAGCCGGTGTCCGGGGAGCGCGACGAGGTGGTGGCGCCAGGAGACCCGCACTGCATGGAATCACGAGATGGGCATACCACCATCGCCTCGAGGGAGAAGATAGGGCGTCGTCTTCTTTGATCGTCCCCCGCTGGTTCCTCGTCGGTGGCCGTGAGCTCGACGCCGTTGAGGTAGAAGATGCGGCGGCAGACACGATTGTGGCTGCGGGAGTACGCAACTCATTACTGATTGAAACAGAGGCCGAGACGGCGCCGTTCCTCACTGTTCCTCCGGGGGACACCGCTTCAAAGGTGGGCCATCCTGTCGCAGCTGGCCGCGCCTCTTTGGTGGTGGTGCAGAAGAAGCGGCAGCCGCGTAGAGCGCCCCGGCTGCCGCAAAGAAGGCACGAGGGGCTCCCGGGTGGCGGTGGGGTAGCCAGCGCTAACTCCATCTCGCCGACCGACGACGGGCGAGACTCATAGCCCCGGCGAAGCGTCTCCGGATTGTGGATGCGGACGGCATGGATCAACGGGGAAGAAGGCGCGCGGTGTAGAGTTGGACGCTGGCCGCCCTCCTCGAGCCGACCAGCAGCGGCAGCGAGCTCGAACTGTTGGAGTATTCCTCCACGGTCCCGGTCTTGGCGACACTCCGACAACTCGAACAGGGGCGCCGAGCGGAGAGGTGGACCGAAACGAAGGTTGAGGAGGTCCTTGAATCGTCCCCATGGCGGTGTACCCTCGTCTTCCTGCAACTGGATGTACCACAGCTGCGCGACGTCCTCCAGATTGTAGGAGGCCATCCACACGCGCTCCTCCAGCATGGTGCGCTGTTGGCGAAAATAGGATTCGCATTTGTTGATGAAGAGCATCGGATCGGTCTTGCCATCGAAGCGGGGGAAGTCGAGCTTCTGGAATCATGGGGGCCGATCCAGATCACGAGGAGGATCCTCGCGCCCGCCGTCGCCATTGTCCGACGACGATGATGACTTGTCCTTCATGGTGGCCATGTCGGCCTTCACGGAAGACAACTCAGTCTGGAACGACTTCATCATCTCCATGAGGTCCTTGATGGTGGGTTCAGCCATGGTGGTGGAGTGGCCGGTGGAAGGGGGTGGTGGAGGGCTGGAACGGGTGGGAGAGGATCTACGCGATGCCGATACCAGGTTGTCAAGCGCCTCAACGCCCAACGTCGCCGGACCGCGGCTACGTAACTCGTAGTCGCGCTCCAGGCCTTCACCGTGAGCAGATCTCACCGGTGGCTTGAGAGAGTTTGGAAGAGAGGAGCAACTTTAGGATAATTGATCTTGCCTAATTCTCTCCAAGTCTCTTACACGGCATATATGGCCAATGGCCCAACCAAACTCTCCTATAATTAAGGCATGCAAAAGGAAACTAGGTCCTATCTTTCTAAACTTAGCCACTGACGGTGGCACCTGCCTTGGCCGCGCGCTCCGCAGCCCTCCTGGCGTCACGACGGCGCCTATAGGTGCGCCCGTACATGACAACACCATTATGGCTAGTGCATATCCTTTATATTGATGTATGTTTATAGGCTTTACCCCTTCTTTATTAGACAAATACCTCCTTTTATTTTTTACATTGTTGAACTTTTTTTGGAAGTCATGTTAGCCTACCACAACTTGCTTAAAAATATAAAGTTTTGTTGTTGTCGGTGTATCAGTGTGGAAATGAGTGAAGGAAGTGCTCAGTTGATTAATATGCAGGCCAGAAATCATACTGGCTGGCTCTGCTCCAATCCACTGATTGATTCATATGCAGATTACAAATGATACTGAGGGCTTTGAAACTTGTCTTTTCATGAAAACTTTGTGCGTCTGATCTGTTTAATATGTTCAAATTTCTCTGTAACTGCTATATTCTCTGACAATGACTGTTGTTTACATTGTGATTTGAGCTTCTTGGAAGCTGATATGTTTCTGGTGCTCATCCAAGCCATGGGAGGACGAGGGATTACATTTCTTGGCCAACTTTATTATCACTTGGGATTCACCATTTGCATTTTCTTTTGGCAGTGAGTCACAAATCTGTCTCACTATATCATGTTTCACTTTTGATTCCGCAGTTTTTCAGTATAATTTGTTTGTTACATGCACAGCAAACATATGAGAATCCATGATTTATTTTCCCTCCTAAGAATGAATGAAGAATACTATTTGCTATGATGATCATACTAATTCCTAGATGCTCGCTGAATACTAACTTTTACTGTGCCCACATTCTGGAGGGTATCCATTAGGAAACCTCCTCGAGTCAGTGCAGTAGTCATATATCTTGTTTTTACCATTGACATCATTCAGTTTCTGCTGCCCCTGCTCATCCAACTCCTGGTTGAACCAACTGCTATCACCGGAATCCTGGCCGCAAATCCAGGCCCTATTGTATGGGACACAAGCGTTGGCGGTGTAGTTCCGGAAGAAGGCTGTGAAGGGCCCATGGGACCAGTCAGTTTTGATGCGTCCGCCCTGGGTCGCCCATTCGTCAGCGTCCCAGATGCTGGCATACAACCTCATAGGCTGATACAGCGGGAAGGGAGTGTCATCCCTCATCTGATTCCTCATCCACCGGATCGGTACGCCGTTAACAAGTATTCTGCATCCCAACAATAGGCAAATGATGGATTAGAACTAATTGACACCTTAGAAGCGTTTAGCAAATGTCACAGAGCTGCCAAAATGGCGGCTTAACATCACGGTAGAAACTAATAAGTTGAACAAGATAGAAATGCAGATCACTTACAAGATCATATGCGGGTTCCATATGATTGAGTAGGTGTTGAAGTCTTCAGTAGGATCGAACCAAAGACGATACTGCATCTCTCGGTCACCTTTCCTCTTGCATAGATGTTAGTGTGCAGGGTGTATGGTTCACCAGTGGCGTTCCCCAGGAACTCAAGGTCAATCTCGTCATGGTATTGCCATGGCCCCTCTGTTACCATCTAGTGTGTTTCAATTGAAATAAAGTGAGAGTAATGGTTAGGCTGTACGTGAAAATGATGATGGTTTCATTAATCACATATTTCTTGTTTAGATGACTTACATATACTGTGGTGCCGGTGCCGGCTGAGTCCTTGGGGACAAGCTTGATGTCAATGTCGAACCTCCCAAAGAGGTACTTGCTCTTGGATCGGAACGCAGAGGTGGTCCAGCAGTCGTGGGAGAGTGACACCATTTGGTGGCCGGCGCCGTCACAGAGCACCTGTGTGTTGCCCCACATCATGTCAACGCTATCATCCATGTCGCTGGTTGCTGGAGAGATGGCCGTCAGGCTGAGACAGAGAGCCGCTAGAGAGGCTATGCAGTAAGCCCTATAGGACTGCCACATGGCTTCAGGTCTTGTGGTAGTGAATGGGCACACCGTGACCGTGAGTGTGATGCATTTGAAACGATGATGTGGAGTTATATATAGACTCTAGCTAGTAAGGGATCGGAGAGCAGGGTGTCCAAGTCTGAATAGAATCTAACTAGGTATGGACTTTGTTTCTTGGATGGCATAATAAACTGGGCAGAATATATTGGCTGGCTTCTAAAGAAGCGCGTATAAAGATTCAACTTCCAAGTACTGGCATTGAAGCTTCAGCAGGATAGCTAGCCGCCCCACGGTGCCTTCTGCCAACCTAAGCAGGCCAGGATGAGGGTTCATAGTTGCCTTGTGGGGGCAGTTCCTGTGGGTGGTATTACTCTATATATATATCCATTCAATTGGTAGTATCATATAAGCCATGAAATCTATAAATAGTCGAACTCGACGACTTGTCCAAGAGGTTTGCTTATTAATTATTATTACGCACAACCATAATCTTTAACTTCTTGTGACGTGGGATTAATTTAGTATAAACTTTTACTACCAAATGTCTCCTAGTGAGGATTCTCATATGCTATAATTAGTGGTAGTATTTTATTACTGCTTAAAAATACTCATAGAACTCTACCATTTTGGTAGTGACCCTCTTCAAACAAAGCCTGTACTGTTCTAAAGTTATGGCATATAGTAACTTGTGGTACTGTCACTGACAATATGTCTAAGATCATCCCTGTTCCCTGCCCTGTAAATCATAACAGTGTTATAAAGTTATTGAAGATTTTCACTTGCCCTCATAATATATTTCAATAATGATATTGTACAGAAACCAGGTTTGCTATACTCCCTCCGTCCCATTGAGTTTGTCGTTGGAAAACCGTGCCCCCCTCACAATCCCGATTCCCGAGCGACAAACTCAATGGGACGGAGGGAGTACGTGAGTAGGTTGCTGACAGATCTAAGAGGTTATTAAAAAGAATTAATTCCTCAGGTTTAGAAACTAATGCAAGTGTTGTTCAGAAAAGAAATCAAATGATGCGGAGTCAAACAGGCAAGCCACCTGACGATCACGTGTCCATGCACACTGTATGACCATAACAGAGTTTTTTTATATCAACCAGTTACTGTTTATATTTGTGCACTGCAAACTTTTTCGGCCCCCGAAGAATAATAAACGTACTTTGAGGACACATTCAACAGACTACTATTCTCTCTGTCTCTGGAAAAAAAACGTATTTTGATATGGGGATATGTAATAAAAATAACTCTTAATTTTTATAATATGTTGTCATTTGCTAAAGAATCAATACCATCTCAGAACCACTTTGAATACAAATATATTGATGCAAGATTTATATCCTCAATCTATATATAATTTGACTAATTGTTAGCCAAAGTTTGTGAGACTTTGACTTTTCTCAAACAAAATACACATCATTATGAAGGGAGTCCTTTTGTATATATCCCAATAGACATAGAGATTGCTTCTATTTAATGTTGAGATGACGTCTATTATCATTTCAGGCTTATGTTTGGCTTCTCGAATTACGAAGCACACATGGCATGGATGATAGCAAATCGCAATGCAGTAAATCCATCATAATTCTGTGAGGACGTGGTAAAATGTATTGCCTAAAATATTAAGGGAGCCAGATTCATTGGCTTTTAATAGGTTGCCACATAGGTGTTTTTATGACATAACATTTTAAGAAGAGAGAGAAGTAAGTTGATGAAACTCTCTTAGCACGATTACCAACTCTATATGAATCACACAATTAAATGTTTATGAAATCAAAAAAATAAAATTTTTCATTGAGAATGTGTGTTTTCATTCATGTTTCATTTCATTATATATGACATGGCAATCTTGAAAACAACACCATGAAACTTCTTACTGAGATTGGCCTAAATATTACATGAGGGATATAATGAGACTAAAGAATTAATGGGTGTAGGGTACAGAAGAGACTATAATTATTCATCCGTTAAATTCCATCCATGATAGCTGATTTACTAAGAGGGGCCGTTTGGTATGGCTCTCTAGCCGCTCCAAAAACGGCTTCAGCTTGTGCTTCATTCAGCTCTAGCTCTTCTTGCTCCTCCCCCCCCCCCAAAAAAACACCATTTGGTAGGACTTCTTCGTTAGCTCCAGCTCTATCTTGATAGAGAGGCATTGTGTTGGCAGGGAGAAGGGGCGACACGAACAAACTGGAGGCGCAGCTCCAGCGTGGGTGGAGAGAAGAACCTGGAAGAGTTCGTCATGGCAGCGGAGGCCATAGTGGACATTACATCCGCTCAAGATGTAGTGAACAAGGTCTTCGATTAGTTTATACTTAGGGTAACCTGATGAACAAAGACTCCTATTCTTTCATGAATGTACCTTAGTACAATGCTCTTGTGTATGACTGTTCTTATCCTTTTTGTTTTTGCTCTGTAGGCGATACATATCATATCGGCTTTTGCTGTTTTTGAAGATCTTTCATTTTTTGAACTAGAGGTGATACCCTCCTGATATCGGCTATTGGAGCCGAGAACAAATTGGCTATCAAATTCAGATGTTAGGATAACATCTCTTCATGCATTTTTCATTCCAAAGATCAAACGATCGATCAATCCAAGTCAAGCATCCTATTAAGCGAAACAGAACTTCTCTTAAGAAATCCATTAACTCTGAATCGCATTTATACTTTAACTCAGCATTCACATACATCGATCTAAACCTATCTCCAAGACTCAATGCTTATTTTTCCTTAACTCAATGGCCGACGCGACGCCACGATTATTGATCAAAACAAACTTTTAGAGTCGATTGCTTGAACCGGCTGTTGGCCTTCATTATTAATCCTAACGAAGCCTCCTTCCCATGTCTTGCTAGAAAGGCATTTGAAGTCTCCTAATTCCCAAAACACTGGATCGGCTGTTGCAATACTCACAGACTCGTCAGCGCGAACCATTTCGATATCATCTCCATGCCATTGAATCAAACACTGATGCATGGTCGATGGCACACAACAGTTTACATGAATCCAGTCACGACCGAGGAGTAAACTGTATGATCCTTTCCCATCAATGACAAAGAACGTGGTGAGCAGAGTTTTACTCCCGATTGTCAGTTCGACGTTTATTGTCCCCCGGGTCTTGGATGTATTTCCTCCGAAGTCTCTAAGCATCATGTCGGTCTCAAGCAGATCTCCTGGTCCCTTGCCAAGTTTACACAAAGTAGTGTAAGGCATAAGATTGATAGAAGCACCTTCGTCCACCAACATCTTGTTCATCAGCTTCCCATCAACAAAACCCTTCATATATAAAGCCTTTAAGTGCTGATGCTTGACTGGCTTATCAAATATTGCTTGCTGCACAACCGCTAACTTGGCAACTATCTCTTCATACTCTGATTCATCGAAGTCTGAATAAACTTCCTGATTTGCCGGAGCTCTGAATTCTGATGGTAATAGAAAAGCCATTTGGATATTAGCCGATGATTGCTTCTTATCAGTTATTTGCTTGTTACGCCACACTTGAGTTTTACCGGATGGCTGAGCCTGTTCTATCTCCTTATTCCTTAGGCGTTGCACTCTTCTCTTCTGGCTCCTTGTTAAACCTCCGGGGCACCATTGGCCTTCCTGCCAAACAAGTTCCCTCTGGTTGCTTCCTTCTTTATGATCAGCCCAGTCTTGGTCAACAACTCTTTTTCCTAGCCGATCATGAATACTTTTACTTTTTAAGTGCCGATCCACGTTATTATGATGATATGCATTCTGGGCATGGATAGACCGGCGGTTGATTTGAGATTGCCTGAACTCCTAATATTGATTGCTGCATTCCGGACAGTCATATCTGGTAGGCAATTTCAAACCTTCGTTCCAGCAGTATCTGAAGAAAGGACAATTCCAGTGTGATTCAACTTGCTTCCTTTCATACCTTTCTTCTTCCAGTCGACGCTGGTATTCTTGATCCTTTAACCATCGCTGATAATCCTTTTCCTTCTGCCGCTGCCACTTATTCAACAGGATCCAAGATGTGACTCGCGGCTTCGTTGCTCCATCCTTTGACGTTTCCCCCTTCTCATATCGGCTCCTCTGCTAATCACGATGTTTTCTAATCTCTCTGTATTCATCAGCCGATATTTGTATCTTGGGATCAACTGTTCCAGCTTCTCTTGACTTGGTCGATGTTAGAACCTTAGTTTTTCCTTTGAATAACCCAACATCAACCATATTTTGATCCCCTGGGAAAGGATTATCATCAACTTTCATCTTCCGAGGCGTATCAAACTTGAGCCTCCCTTGTTGAATAGCCCTCTGTATATGTTGCCGGAAAATTCTACACTCATTAGTGGAATGAGAAGTAGCATTATGGAACTTACAGAACTTCTTATTCTTCAACTATTCAGGGGGCGATATAACATGATTGTCCGGCAATTTGATCTGGCCCTTCTCAAGTAAGAAGTCAAAGAGCTTGTCCGATTTTGTGACATCAAAGCCATAGCTCTCCTCGACTCCTCTTCCCCAAGGATTTGGCACCATTACTGTCTTCTTACCCCAATTCCATTTAGCTGCAGCAATCTCTTCTTCTTCATCTTCATAGACGTCATCAATTGAGTATGGATCATAAGCTTCGGCCACTGTGGTGTTCTTCTGGAATCGGGTATCTCTGCACATACTCCGGAATTGGCTATTGAGCGCTGCTACCCGTTGAACCTATTGTCCCAAGTTGTCAAACTCTTGTCCTAGTGGCTTTTCTTTCCACATTGGCAACATTCCTTGGACAACTAAAGTTGTTGGCTGATCATCGGCCAAGCTCAATGAGAAGCACAAATTTCTAGTCTCTCAGAATCTCTGAAGAAACTCAGTGCTCGATTCATTAGTCCTTTGTCTCACGGTTGTCAAATCGGTTATCTTCTTTTCTCCAGCCCCAGTTGAAAAATATGTATGAAACTTCTTCTCTAGGTCAGCCCAATTGGCAATGGAGTTGACTGGTAGGGACGAGAACCAAGTGAAGGCTGGCCCTAACAGGGTTAAGGA